CCTACACGCAGAATATGCATATTTTCTGCTTTTGTTAACATTAATTTTCAATAGCTGTTCTAAATTCTATAAGCAGAAAATGCCTGTGCTTTAGCACACTTTAACAAGCTAGCCCACAACACACCAAATTTTGTTCTTACCGGCCCATAGCATGTGATTGTGTTTTCTTCCATCTTTTCACACTGGGGATCACACTCCACACAGACAGAGCCATTTGCAAATTCTCGAAATTCCCTACGAAAATATTTTGCAGGCAAGTTAGGAGAAAGCAAAAGTGAGACTGAAACTGAGATAAAATGGCTGACTCTTCACCTGGTGGAAACCATTCCAGCTTCACTAAGGTCATCAGAACATGCCAGCTGAGATCACTTCTGTTAACATTATGCTACTTTACACCAGCTGAAAACTGTGCCCCATCTCATTCATAGGCAGGTAAAGCAGTAGACATCTTGTTTACCAGTATAAAACTAGAGTGTTTCTTCTCTTCTTTCCTTAAGAAATAAGGACCTCATTAACAGGACAAAGCAGCTCATTTCTCAGTTTTTATCCATGGAATTATTCCTCACAGCTCAGATTCAGAAAGCCACTTGTTACATGTGAGACATCACTATCAGATAGGAAAGGATTAGAAAGAGCATTGATCACAGTTCAAGCTATTCTTGTTGTTTTAGTTAAGTCTCTGTGCACACTCCTGTTTTAAAGCCCATTCTCCAAAAGGCTCATAACTTTTTCATCAACAAAATTCTAGACTGAGGTCTGAATCTACACAATATCAAAACAAATCCTTTTGCTTATTTATTTCAAGTATCCACAAGAAACTATTACCCAAGTGGTTTATTTTTTTAATTAACCACTTACAAGAGGGGAAAAAAGTAGTGATAGTAGGTGGGATTTCTTCCTTCGAACACCAAATGTCTCATCTCAGCTTCCAGTTGCCACTCACAAAAAAACCCTCCAGCAGCTTCTCAGCACAATTCATCCCACCTTCTTCTAGGCTGAGATGAATTAACACCTGAACAGGTCACTTCAACTAACCACAGAGAGAATCTATTTAACTAGCTCAGACTGGACACCTAAGCTTTGCAGATGGATCCCATCTTGTTGCATTAACCAGTTAAAATATTTGCATTAAACAGTTAAAGATGTGCTGCACACTCATGTTAGTGGGCTCTAGTAATATTCAGGTAAAGAAGGTAAAGGTGAAGGCCTCTCTGCTTAGTTTATCAATTATATTCTCCCTCTGCTCCTCTACAGCCATTAGGATCTATTGCAATAATACAGCTGAGGAAAACCTCACATGACCATGGCAAGTGAGCTCACCCTTCTTTGGCTTTGGAGAGATAGAGCTTTCCTGTTGAGGACTAAAAGAGAAGTCAAATACATCTGACCCTACCCTGAAGTACCCTTGCTGCCCTGCAAGATGAACATGCAGAGCTCTGAAACAAACAAACAAAAAACTTCTCCCCAAGCCCAGGTCATAAATCACTTCACATATTTAGGAAAGAACTGAGCCTGTGGAAAGTGTAAATACCATTCATTAATTGATACAGATCAAAATATCCTGATTTGAGGGCTGGTCGTGAGAACCTCCTTGTGATCTTACTGCGACTATGCTTCATGGTGACACCAGCCACCAAATGTGGTCCAATTTATTCTGATGCATATGAGAATACAACTGTGGTCTGCAATGCTGCCTTTTTTTTTTTTTTTTGGCTTGCATTGTCCAGACAGAAGATTTTAGAACATTTTCACGTATATATGGGGGTTCATTCAATACTCTTTCCATAACAGTTACATGAGTTGGCATCCAAGGCAGGAAAAGAAAGAGCAAGAAACAATATAGTAATCTTATTTTCAATTAGTAGTCTGAGCTGAAAAATATAATTAAAATAATTTAGGTTTTTTATCTTGACTTTAAAAGAGGTGCCAGGGACCTTGCTATACTGTTACACAGGAATTGAAATTCTACCTGCTTCCCTCCACAGCCTAATTATGAATTTCTTCTGCTGCAGCTAATATAAGCAGTTCAGTTCTATTTTTCTGTCATAAGCCAGGCTCAGCCACCCTGGCTGTGCTGTATGTAGGTATTCCCCCACCCATCCTCGAGAAAAGATGATGCACATGCATGAGTGGGGGAAGAACTAATGTTGGTTTTATTCTTTATATTTGTGTGTGCACATGCATAGTGTATTATGAAAAATAAAAGAGAGTGAGTTTTCCTACTTTGAGGTCCTTGTTCTTTACCACATGCCTAAATCTAACTAGTCTGAAAGAACATAATTGTATGTGTTTCTGAATGGGGTTGTCCATATTCAAGTAGGGCCAAATGGTGAGTTTTTTAGCCTTCACCTAAATCAAATTGTTCACATCAGGATTGCAAAAGGTGCAACAGACTTTTCATGTTGCATGAAAACTTTAGTCAGCAGAATACTAGGAAAAGCCTTCTACACATGTTCAGATTTGGAAATACTTAAAACTTATCCCACAATATATTTCACTCAAAATCAGTAATATCAGCAATGGAAACAGATATCGATTAATGTAAAACCAAAATAACTTACTCATTAAAGTCCTGAACAATGTAGTCAGAAACTTTAGGGAAAAGCGCAAGGGAAATTATCTTACCCATCATACAGGTTACAAGAGTCTATGCAGGTCCTTCCCCTGATGAAACGCTTGCAGGAAAGACACTGGTCTGGCCCCGGCCCCCAACAGCCATCACTTGAGCATAACTCATTACACACCATTCCATCAGCAGCTGGAGAGAGAGAGGATACTATCATTAATTTACATAGTCCTCTGAAATCCAAAGGAAAACATTTCATTCAGCACTCTGCCACACTCAGAAAAGTAAACTGAATGTTCCGATTTTCTAGAAACAGAATAAAGAAAAACCAGAAAACTATCATCATACCACTACAGAAACACACTGTGCATTCACAGTTTGAATACTATACATGCTTCTGGTCTGTTCCTTTCAGAAAGGATATAGTAGAGTGAGAAAAAGGTTCACGAGCGCTGCAGGGATGATCAAAATTAGAGAAGAGCATCTATAACAGGAAAAAACAGACTAGTAGCCTTAGATATGGGTGAGAAAGGACATGGTAAAGGTCTATAAAATCATGAATGACAAGAAGAAGATAAGTAAGCATGAAACAATTGTTCATTGCTTCCTCCAAGTCCCTCATGGGCATTCAAAAAGACAGGAGCCCAATAAGGTTCAAAACTGAGATTTTTCTTTATAGAAAGTATAGATCAAGCTGCAGAATTCCCTGACACAGGACATGGTAAATGCCAAAAATGTAAAGGATTTGAAAAATCAATTGTCCAAATCCACAGAAGGGCTATTAAACTAAAGTATAAAACACTACCTCTGAATTGAGGGCTCCCTGAAATAAAACTTATGGATAGTGGGCAAAAAGTTGAAGAAAAGTCATCACTAACTGTGGAGTTTTTTTTAAAAATTGTTGATCGCAAAAGCACCTGAAGAGTCAAGGAACCTTTATATTAAAACCTGAAAAACACATAAAATAAACAATGGTCCCTGTCTCAAACCCAAAATTCAGCCTAAATAAACAAAATGAACAAAGGATGAGGGGGAAAGGTTGTTTCAAACAGTATAATTAATATTGTATTTTTATTTTATATAAATCCTTCCCTACATAAATATCTAGATGACTGTGACAGATGGTGAAAATGAGCAAAGAACAAAAGGAAACACATTATCTCTCCAGCATCTGAAACAAGTCCAGTTGCACAGATTCAGCCAGACCCTGGCATATGAAAGGGTAGACCTCTTAATTTGAATTCACTCTTGCATGATGAAATGTTTTATGCAAATGGTTACATACTAGATTGAGTAGACTAAAAATAGCAAAGATCTGAAATATCAGAGATGGTAAATATATAAACACTTGTTTTTGGGTTTTTTTGGGGTTTTTTTTTGTTTTTTTTTTAAACCACTGGAAACAACTTGAGGGAAGTGTCAAATTATAAATTAAAAGTAGGTTTGCTGGTAGTGTTCTACCACCTCCTCCAATGCTGTAGCAATTAAGATGTCCAGTTGGGAACAAACACACACACACTGAATACACCTACAAAACAGCAACTGCATATGCCCAGCACACATTTAAATAGCAGTAATAGCAAAATCAACAGAAAACCTTTTTGCAAAATGCAAAAAGCCCTCTGACAGCTTCATATTAAATAAAAAGACAGTAGTTCTTCACACACTATTTTTCTACACTTCTTTCAGTACAGCAGTATAGCTGGATGACTGGGAGAAAAGCCTTATTTTCATTTCAGGATACCTGATGGTCTTATCTCCATTGTCAAGGCTGGAACACTGCAGTTACGTACCATCCATTACAATCTACCTTAACAATTAAAGAGTATACTGAGTTTTATTACCCGAGAAGCACAAAGACCTTCTAAATCATGAAAGAGTAAGCAGAAAGATGCTTTCTGCTCTAACAGTGTGTTTTAACACTGGTTATTCTATGCTGTGGTGTATATAATGTCCCACACTTGAACCACTGAATATCTGTCATAGCAGCCTACTGTACAGGAGAGCACGCTGCTTCACACAGCAGCTCTCTCCTTAACTGCTCTTTAATCACCGCTTTTCATCATGCAGCATTGTTTGATGTTGGCACCATGTTTGTCAAACACATCTGTCTGATCTATACAGCATGCCTATCCTCTTCTGTTTCCTACAAGGAAATTCCTGCACCTCCTTTTGCCTGCTGACATGGAGGAAGTTCATATCACACTGGCGGGGTGCTTCCCCTGGATATACACTACCTGTCCTGTCCCTCCTCCCACTGTCACCCTGCTTTCTGACCACTGAATTTATCAGAAAGCACTTCTTTCGGAAAAAAAATATGCAGCAATTGTATGCATGGTTTCTCTCTCTTAGCCCATGTAGCAAGTAGGCAGAGGGAGTGAAGCTTCTCCCGTATTTCCTTTCGTCTCACAATAGGATGTTTTGTTTCATCGAGATTGAGAATGGCAGATTTTCATCTACTTGGGTTTTTTTCTGCCTAGAACATTTTCATAATTCAGTGCCAAAAAAGGACATTTCACCTTTACACCTTTAGAAGCAGCATAGGAACCAATCAAAAGATTTCATGTCCTCAACCCCTTGCAGGCAAACTGATCCAAGACAAAGAGATTCACCATCATGCTTCCTACTTGTACAGCGCTGTTGCTGACCCTGCATGGCTCTGCTGTACAATACATGTAATTTGTCCGGCAGATAAGCACTGTCTTATTCAATGTAATACCACAAATAACCTCTGATGTGAAAAGTCTGCACACTCATGTCTTATCAAGGCTGGAATGCTTGAATACTTTTTTTTTTTTTTAAAATATCACATGTACTTTCTTAATGACAACATCCAGAAGGTGTTTAGAAGTCTCTTTTTGGTTCTTCTTTTGCCTCAAAGCTCAAATCAGGTACATAAAATAATTAAATTTAGTGGTAATTTCAGGTGTTCATTTAATTTCCTTTAAAGCGTATTAATTCTCAGAGATTCCAGACCTTAGTTGTTTAGCATCTCATTACATAGAGATGCCTCGTTCTCTTTTCCTGAGCTCTGCTATAAACTTGGGATTCATTCTGCTGCAGTCAAAGGAACCACACCACACACGGTATGAGCAGAGACAAAAATTTCAGCTTTTCATTATTGTCCTAACCCTAACTTTTAAGTGTGGCAACATTTTTATGACAACTACCAGATGTCAGTAGTTCTACTACGCTGCCACTGACTAAACTTCATAGACATCAAAGGAACTGGGTGAAAGCTTTGCATTACCAAATGCTACATGTGCAGCCCACAGAGTTTCCTTTTTCACCTACTTTTAGACATTTCATGTATATCTCAGTCTAATGCTGATATTGTGCAGTACAGTTCAGGAGGCACACTGACTTGGTGTTAAAGATTTGGCCTATTTCATGTTCATTGCCTACAGAAGCACCCAGGAAAAAAGTTTCAGATGACACAGCTGGTCATTTCAGGGGAACCCAAATTATACCTCAGGATTTAGAGCACACTTGAGGGCTCCCTCAGAGCAGACTCCAGCACTTCATGCCTGGTCTGCCAATCTCCCTTGATCTCATCCAGTCTCACAGTGATGTGTGACTGACACTGACCAGACAAATATACAAGTCTTGCCTCACATTGCCTGCTGTTTTTCCAGGATTGACAGCTTCACGCTCAAACTGTATCAGCAAATAAAAAAAGAGAAGGGGAAAAAAAAGCCAAACCCAGAAACTATCACAGTTCTAATTAAGCAAACATTTATATGAATAGTTTTATTTTTTAGTCAATGACTCACTTTAAGTACTTGTCATGGAATGAAAAAAAACCCCACCACCCTGCTTTGGAGATCCTTTTGTTCTCATTTTCAATCTTAAGAATATTACTAATTCTTCTGATTTTGTTTTACACACTCTCATCATTGAAAGGCAGTTTCCAATTTGCTTTCTCACCTTTTTTTGTAACTTGAAATTGTGCTTTTATTACTAGTGATTTCCTTTCTTTTTGCTGTTCTCATCTGTCAGACTACTCTGGGATCAGAATTTATTTACACATGCATGCACACAGTGTTGCACTAAAATATCCCTTCAAATAGCAAGTGACACTATTACAAGATAGCTCAGAAAATATACTGAGTAACCTTATGCAAATAAAATGAAAGCTTTTGAGTAAAGAAAATCGTGATTACCCTATTGAAATCTAGCCAACACAGTGCCTGTAGTCTATGAAAAAAGCAATAGGAAAAAAAAAAAAAAATCACTATTTCCTTCTGCTTATTTCTATGTCACAGAAATGTTTTCATAAATGAATCTTGGCAAGAAGGGAGTGTTTTTTTTGACAACTTATAAAAACCCATTACTCTTGTCTTTCTTCCTCTTCCTTAATTATAGGGATGGCTAAAGAAATGTTTCAATTTTAGACACATTATTTGGCATCTACATGGGCTGAGAATGTTCTGAAGCTCTAGCATATCACACGGCCATATGTGGAAGGGAAGAACAATAATGCCTTTAACAGGAACTCATTTTCATCGGGAGTTTCAGAACAAGTGTTCATTCTTTATTAGTGGGGTCACATAGGTTAGAAGCAGAAAGGTTCAATGTTTTTCCCCAACCTAGATAGAACACAAAAGAATTAGCTACCTAAAAAAAGAAAAATTATTGTTATTTGGCTATACACTTATGGGCCTGATCCAAAGCTCCATGAACTCAACAGAAAAGCTCCCGCAGATTTCAATTAGCTTTGCATCACACCTGATAATGAATGTAATCATTTACTCAAGTTGTTAATTGGTGGCTAAATTGGCATAATTCATAACAATCGCATTTATAACCACCTTTGCCTAAAAAGGTTTCACTGTACACTGCAGGTGTCACTAAAGCTGAAAGGAATTATTTAAATAACTTTGTATAAAAGAACATTTTTTCTACATTTATTTTGTATGCACTCACATTTAACATGAGTCACCTCTGACTGTTCCATAAAAAAAACCATGCTGGGGAAAAAAAAGGCAAATTCTTCACTTCAGCACAGAGCAACGGTAAAATCTAACTACCAGAGCACATTCTCTAGCAAATAAATTTATAGTCATCATTCCGCATTAAAAATGTTCATAACGAAGTAAGTTTCATGCACAAACTGTATTTAACATTACACTTTATACTAGTAGGCAATTAAAAGTCTACTTTAGATGAGAGCTTCGTGCACTGCATTTTAG